ATGTCGGCGCGGTACGTGATCGGATGTCGTGTTGGCTCCTTCGCGGCAGGTTTCAAAGGTGCTGCATTGCCAGGCGTCTCTGGACAAAGCGAATCGTCTTCGCGAGACGTCGGTGACAGGACGATATTCGTCGGCATACCTCCAGCACCAAATGGGTAATGCTGCCTTCGCCCCATGAGGCTTATCCAAGGTCAGTTGTTGCTCTTCTTCGACCCTGGTTCATACCGTCACCGTTCGGACAATGCGACACGCTTTGGAACTTACTTCAGATTTATCGCAGTGTTCTTGAGAGTGCGATTCACTGTTGTTTGCCTCGTCAGATAGTGCGGCTCGACCTGAAGGCGTACCTGCCTCTTTTCCCGATGGAAAGACTGGACGTTCGGTGACATGCACGATTGGGGCGCACTCCTCGCCAAGGCACCGCCTGCAGGAAATAAATACACACGACTCCGCTTCGCTCCGGTGTGCGCATTTCGTTGGAGGATGCTCTGTCGTCCCTCGCTTGCTGTTCATACTACAGCTCATATAAAGGGTTATCCCAACAACATGTTCCACTGCTTCGGAGTCATATGTGGATCAGGGTCCCTACAATTTTGAAAGTATCAATATCTTTGGTACGTGCCTCAGTGTGTCGCATGGTCAAACCATGGTGATATTAAACCAACTTTGAGCCTGCTACAGCATGGTTCGAGCTCTCGGTATGCGTGCCGTCCATCGCGCCCCGCTGGTTGGGCAGTTCGTTACATCCTCGCCATGTCACACTACGATATGTGACGTTTCGTCGGGACCCTGTGATTATATCTTCTGTTCCAAAATAGGGTATTTCTCAAGATCCTCCAACGAGTGGAAATATTTCTTACGACCGTCCAAGTTGAACGTTCGTAAGGTATTTTTATTCCAAATCGTCCACCGCGGCATGATTGGCTAAAAGTCGCATGAGCAGATAAAACTTGGAAGTTAATCCCAGGTGAGTTTTAGTCCTCTCCATTCCAGAATTTCAGCGACCGCCAGACACCGCCGACCGCCCCTACCGTCTACGACACAATACCGAGCGCGACAGCCACCGAGCGGTATGACTCAGCGGCTATTGATTTATACTCATGAACATGCGGTCCATAAACCAGTTTGATCACTGTCAGCATGAACATGACTTTGTGCTCACCACTACCCGTCATTTCTCTGACTCTCACCCAGGATGGAATACAAAGAACACATCCACACTGGAGTTGATGACTTCATAGCTTGGCGCCCTCAACTTTTCAACGTCCATGATTTCAGCAGCGTACGGTGTCACCACCCGACCTTCGCTCGTCCACTTTTGAGCCAACTTGTTTCGGTCCGACACATTCTTTGCACACATGTCCATCCAGATAAGCATAGCCTGGGCGCTCAAGGACAGACGTGACTTGTTTTGGAGTGTCTTTCTTCTGTCACTCTCAACAAGTTTGTCGTACGCCACTTAAACAGTCGACGTCGCATCGGGTCGGTTGAGCTGTGCATGTAGGTGATCACAACCCACTTTACAGGCTCAATTTGCCGTCAAGTACTATTCCACACGTTCAACAAACTTGGCATCAATGTCATCCAATGCTCCATTGTACGCCACTTCCGTGTCGTTGGCTTGGAACCTCCACACACAGTTTTCGAACAAGCGACTGGCAAAACCAAACTGGCTTTTCAGAGTTGATAGGATGTGTCATGTGCAATATATCAAACATATTTGGTGTCCAGTGCGCGAAAGGGCAATGGCAGTAAGCTGCGATTTTCCTCGATCCACAATGTTGCGC